CTTGGACCAAGAGGCAGTCGTCAGAACAGAGCAGGGCAACACTGAACGGTTCAAAATTGGGAAGGGTGTACGCCAGGGATGTGTCCTATCTCCATACCTTCTCAACCTGGATGCAGAGCAGATTATCCGAGAGGCTGGGCTCTATGAGGAGAAGCGTGGCATTAGGATCGGTGGAGGTGAGATGGGCAGGGTGATAATCATAGGGCTGTACAATCTGATAGGTGAGGGAATGGTGGGTAAAGAAAATGGGAAAGATCTGGTGTGAAAAACAATGTATATAAACTTTGTAAGTAAACTAGTACAAAATAAAAACTTTATTAAAAATAAAAGAATGGACAGAGGGAAAAATATAAAATCTCTACTTTTCAGAGAGTTCTATCAACTCAAACTTCTTTTGCATTAATAACATTTAAACAAAAAGTGTTCACAAAAAAATTAAAATATCTTCAATGGTATTGGGTACAGTAGGTATGGTTTGGTGGTTTGGTTTTTTTTACTTTTAAACTTTTAAGAAATTTTCCCTAAAACCAAGCATGAAATAAATTTGAGTCTAATATTCACATATAAAATATAACTATGAATAAATCATAACTTGTTGTATTATGCCAATTCAGTGTATTTAAAACATATCTACCATTATATTTCTCTTGATAAAATTTTAAATAAAACTAATGATAAAAAATTGGAAATATTCTTGTTCCATATAAATAATCATAAGCACAAAAACAACTGATAAAGCATAAAGTTTTTATAATTTTTTAAAATGTCCTTTATTGGGGAAGGATAGGGAAAGTGTAGATGAATAATGAACACTGCATTGGAAAAGATTAAATAAAGGAATGAAAGGAATGCATGATAAGGCATTTTATGTAAGACTATTAACAAATGAGCAAGATGTGCAGTACAAAGGGAATTGGGGAAGGGAGAGGAGGAGAGTAAGCAAATATGCATCAATGAATGAATGAAAGCCCAACCTTTCTGTAAACTTCCATTAAAATCACAATTAAAAACATCTGTATCTATAAACTAGTGGTACAGAAAATTATAGGAACAAATAAAATGCAAATCAGTATTATCAGTTAAAAATAACTAGGACTTCATTTTACTAGAATCCACAATCAATACTCATGGAGCTAACAGTCAAGAAATTAAACAATGTAGTGCACTGTAGCTGAATCTGGACTCTGCCTTCTTGAGGCATGGCCGTTTTGAGGGCTCAGGGCAATTTTGGGGTTCTTCTGGCCCCACGTGGTAGTCGGCAGAGCACACTTGCTAGATGAACTGGGGGTCTGGCAGAAGGACTTTGCCAGCATTTGGGTATGCTGGGTTGGTAAGACACTGAAGGGCCTTCGGGCCTTTGGCCCTCAGGTCAGTCTTTCATTGTTTTTGTTCAGACATTTCTCTAGGTCGTATAGCCTTGGTGTACAAGTTGCTGTACAGCAATAACTTGTAGTTGCTGTGAGGCTGAACACTGTGACACTGATGTGTCAAATGTGTTAATGGTTGGTTACCCAATGCGGACACAGAGTGGGGTGGAGCTCCCCGATTAAAACAAGCTTGGAAGGAGGAGTGGCATCCACTTCCATAATAGCTTGCCTCCGGAAACCCTGTGAACCTGGAGAGAGGATGAGAGACACCCAAGCGTTGAGGACTCTCCTTCATAGGGTGGCCATGAGTCGCCTGCGACTCGACAGTACTTAACAACAACAACAACAACAGTGCACTGAGCAAATCTCCTGCCAAGGTCCTCTTTAAAGGGATAAAGAGCAATGGTGTCACTTTTGACTAAGGTGCACTTGACCTAAGCCATGATATATTCAATTGCTTTGTAGGCATGTAAAAACTGAACAGTGATCGAGAAAGCTCAAAGAACAATTGGTGTCTTTGAATTGTGATGTTTGAGAAGAATACTGTCTATAGCATA